TTTCCCCAAATTTTTTATTTAAAACCAAATTAACCCCCTTTTTGCCCCCCATGCTTTTCAAATTTTTTTTTTTTTTTTTTTTTTTTTTTTTTTTGCAAAATATTTTGAAAACCTTGAGGTTTTGGATTGTAACATAACAAAATATAGAAAATGAAAGGATTTGAGCACTTTAGCAAATTCTTGTAGTAAAGAGGGACTAAAACAGTAACTATCCCAGGGATCAAGTTTAGTTGGAGCTCGGTGGGTCATGTTGATAAACTCTGTGCAAGCTCTTCCACATGCCCATGCAAAAAAAAACAACAAAAAAAAAAAACAGCTCCTTGTTTCACAGCGTGCATACAGAGTTTTCCACTCCTGTTCATGCACATGCACTTCCAGGATGTATGACAAGGCAAAGTGCAATTAGATACTGAAAAACAAAATCTATTCTGCAAGTAGAAAAGACAAAGTCATGTTACTAGACCAATCAAATTATCCACATGTTTATCCAGCTCTGTAAACTGGCTCATTAGCAGTACTAAATAAAAACACAGTGGTCAGTCCATTATGCCGTTTTCACACAACAACCCAGAGGAAAAAAACAGCCAAAAACTCTTAATCTTTATTCATGGATGTTTTGCCTGTTCAGCAAAGCATATTTCTTCAGTAATTCAAAACAAAACAATTGACAAACCATATTTTAATGGCGACAGAAACTCAAAACTAGATAGCTGAGTCCTTGGCACACATTCCCAAATGAGGGAAAGGAGAGAGAGAGAGAGAGAGAGAGAGAGAGAGAGAGAGAGAGAGAGATAAAGGAATATGGAGGAGGTCAAGCAGAAAAAAGTTGCACACATAACTTACTCTGAAGACATGAAGGAGGAAAGCGGTCCGACCTCCTTTGCTTTCTGCAGAGCATGCTTCTGGTTGAAAGCTGCCTCTGCTTCTTCTTCATCCTGATCAAAATAAATAATAAAAGACACCTGAGCAACTCGACCACATGAGTGTTCCAGTAATTGATCAGAATCGAAGAGATGGGGCTGAAGAATGACAGAAAACACATCAGATTAGGTATGTTCTGTTTAGTTGTATTACCTTGGTAAGTTCTTGTGCATTGGCCAGGTTATCCACAGCAATGGCCAAGAAGACATTCAGAAGAGTATCTGGTCACACATATGTTAAGGAGGCTCAACCCATCAGCTACTGTTTATTAAAACAAAACTGGAAAAAAAACGTTGAAATTGAGGTTGGAGCTGCAATTGCACAGAAACAAAGTTCGTCAGAGAGCTGACTCATTGGGAACTGAATGCAAATTCAAGCTACACTTTTCCCAAGTTCCACCTTTTTATGTGTAACAAAATATTTTTTATTCTTTTTCTTCACAACTATGCACCAGTTTATGCACATAAACCCCCGATAAAATAATGTGATGTAACGTGGCAAAATGTGCCGAAGCTGAAGAGATACAAACGCTTCAGCGAGGCAGAGTAATAAATCCTCACGGTGAGTGAAAAATTACACGTAAAGATGGCAACAAAATTGACTGCAAATTGCAAAAAGTGGATACAGTTTCCGAAAAGAGTAAGAACTATAAAATAGATGGAGGACCACATCCCCGACTTCACTCCTCCTTGGGAGCGAATACCGTTATACATGACCTCATTCCAGTCCTCTCCAGTCAGGATCTGTACAAACATGCCCACACAAAACGATAGAACATCTGTACAACCATCCTGAACTCTTATGAGCTCAGCTGCAGATTTTACTGTCAGTAGTAATTTGTCACTTTTGCTTTCAGACCTGAAACACAGTCATAATGGCTGCAGGAAAGGTGTCAAAGTTTGTTGGTGTGTAGTCTTCAAAGATGAACCTGTAGAAAAGACAAGATATGCCCTGTGCTGTCAGGATACGTCTTAATTAGTTCATTTAGAAAGCATTTTCTCTTCTTCCTACTGAGGAAAGTTTATCACAAGAACACACTGGTCTATTTCTGCAAATTTTATGAACGTGTCAGCCAGAGAGAAACAACTCCGGGTAAAACAAGGAGCAAAACATGTGGGCTACAGAGGTCTCATATCTTCACTCGGTGAGTTGGTGTAGTGAAAACAAAATTTCCAATTTCAATACGTTAACCTTCCTCTGAATCTACGCAGCCATGGATAATTACCTCTTTGGCAATTTAACATATTTTCTGATATTTCACAGAAGTATTCCAAATAAGTGGAGCTCTAAGCTCAATGAAGGGGACTGTGAAGTTACCTGCCACCAAAAAGCTGCATGCCAAGGAGTGCGAAGACAACAATGAAGAGAAAGAGAAGGAAGATCAGGGAGATGATGGACTTCATGGAGTTCATCAGAGACACAACCAGGTTTCTCAGAGACGCCCAATACCTTGACAGTAACCAAATATCAAATTTCTGTTAAAATCTAAAAACACAGCATTTCTGATTCAAGCTTTGTGCAGCAGAAAGACATTGAAATTAAATGTACTGACTAAATATAATCAAAATTGTCACTGCACAACTCTATACATGGAGAAAAACTTCTTAAAGCCTTTTTTGTTGTTTACAAGAAGCATCGATTTTAATTTTAATTGAATTAATTTATTACCACAACTAATGCATGCATGCAAAAAAAAAAAATACATGGCAACACACTCTAGAGGTAAACATATAAAGTCACTCCACAACTTTGATCATCATTAATAAAAAAAAAAATGCTGGTATAAATTGTGTTAGTTGGAACAATGAGTGTGCATGATGAGATTGGAGTAGAGTCAGTCTTGATACAAATTTAAACAGCTCTTAATAAACCCCAGACAACCTCTTCAAAGTCTTGCAAATGCAACTCAAGTTTGTACTGATTTTAATGTCCCTTGACTAGTGTGAAGGAAGCCTATAAATGGGAAAAAAGTCAAAAGAGCTGATGACTAACTTGGTGATTTTGAAGATCCTAAGCAGGCGGAGAGCGCGGAGGACACTGATACCAAATGACGTTCCTGGTCTGAAGAATCCCCACAGCACCTCAAAGATACTGCCAATGATTACCTGCAGTATGCAAAAGATGTGAACAGATTTATTAAAAATGTATGTTCTTATTTAAACCACAGCATCTTAACTGTGTGAACTACAAATGAAAAAGGAAAACGAGGCACTAACGCTGCAGTCAAAGCAGTTGAACGAGGAATGAAAGTAGAGACGCGGTCCCAAGCTGTACATCTTCAGGAACATCTCTGTCAGGAACAGAGCGAGGAACAGGAACTCTGCATAGTCTTTGAAAACACAAACACAAGTTAACTACTTCCAGTGTTGCTAGTAGACATTTTCCTCACATTGTGTAGTCTTGCTGAACTTACAAAGAAAATTGGACAGCCAGAAGGGCTGGTTGTGGTGCACAATGGCGACACACAGCGTGTTGAGAGCCACAAGGCCGAGAACTGTCCAGTAGAAAGTGTGCGTCTTCACCACGCGGCGAATGGAAATCCGCAGGAGACGCTCTTTACGTCGAAAATAGGCCGTTGGACCTCGCTTTGCACTCCGAACGCTGGCTCGGGCCATGGGCATGCCTTACAGGAGGGACAGTGGGAAGATGCAGAGAAAAGCTGCGGTCTGGCAGCACTTACACAGCATGGCGCTAACAACAGTGACAAATCCATTTTAAACCGCTGCAAAGTTCAAGTGGAGTGGAGTTTAACTTCCAGTTGAAGTGCAAATATTTCAGATTATATCCACTCACCCACAGAAGTGATATCTCCATAATGTTCCTCCCCTGACTGGCCCTGATGCACATCCATGCCTCTCCTCTTTATGGTGGTTGCTCGCTTCAACACTAAAGACATAAAAGGGTCCAGTGGCGGGCTGTTCAACGTTTAAACCAACATATTGTAGGTGAAACACAAGCTTAAAGGTTAAATCATTTTGAGCTCCTGGTTGTGAGGAATATTTGTTCAGTTTATTTCTTAAATCCATTGCAACAAAACTGTCTTTTGTGAGCCCACCTCCAGTGGCGCAACTACACATTACTCAGGTGGCGACGATACGTGAAGTGTAAAAATCGCTACATTTACCTCGTTATGTACGAGAGGTGAAGGAGCGTGAGGCGTGCTGAAGCGTATAGGAAAACATAATCGGTGCGTCGCCCCCTCAAGACGGGGTTTTGGCGCCCCCTCTGGTGCTGCGCCCCTATGCGTTGCATACGCTGCATACCCACTTTTTGCGCCTCTGCCCACCTCCATGTGTAAAACATGCAACAATGTCTGAACAAGGCAAGAAATCTGATCACTGAATGAATGTAAAACAACAAAGCAAATAAAAATGGCCTAGAGCCCAGCAAGCTAATGGGAATATGTAGTTCATTAATGTTGCTGCTAAATGAGACAAAGATGATCAACTAATTTTAAAGCAATGGGCTAATCACCTTCCTTTCAGCGAAATCTTAAAATATCTGTCAGGAGGAAAGCAGTGGTTCCAGATAACTTAACTGTGTATGCCTTTTCTCTGTTTAGGCAGTGTTTACATAGTGGCAAACCAAGCAGGACACAAACGCTAAAGCTCCTTACTGACAAATGTGCATACAATTACCTCTCATCTTATCAAATCCCGACTGACACCTTCCTGCTACCTCTGGATCTACTTGCAGTCAATATTTGCTCGAGGTCTTTTTAATAGGCCGCTGATCAAACACAAACATACGCAAAAATCCTGCTGCCGTTTCCCCACATAGCGGTGTTTGCTAAGGGCAGGAAGATTCAGTCCTGTCAACACAAACACACATCCAGGCTGCTGCCTTTTCAGACCAGCGGTTGCTAAGGCAACAGCAAAGTGCCACCTTTCTTTATAATCAAAGCTATCAGAGCATCCACATTTATTTCCGTCGCCACTGAAGACACTTTCAATGCGCACAACAGATTTAAACTTCAGGGTTTTTCTTTTTTTACTTTACAGTGTCAGAGTGAACGGGTTGCACAGATAGAGGTCTTTGTAGCAGCTACAGTGGATTTCGGTGTGCCTGCGGGAAAATTGGCTGTGAAGTTTTTGCTGCAAAGTGCAGTCGACGCCTGAAGTAACTTCTACTCTGCTCCCGAAGGGCTTTGGGAGATGCCAGTCAGTCAATATGTGATAAATCCCTTCAGGTCCCATAAATAAAAAAGATTACTGTAGAGTTAAGAGGGTCAGAGAGTGAGTTATCCATCTGCTGATTGATAGATTAAACCAGGGATTTATGCATGTGTAGAGCTAAAACTTAAGGGTTTTGCAGGTTTCCCATATTAAAATAAATATTTGTCTAATGAAAGAATAAGCAAAAGAAATTTGTTAGTGCAGAGTAATAAAAACAGGATTTATGTCACTATCTCTGGAACTGGATGGATGTTGTCTTTGCAAAAGATTGCAGAAAAAGTGGTTATTTAAAGACGAGTACCGTGTACTGTTATTTTTTAGAACAGTTCAATTTGTCCGTAGTAATTAAAAATAAAGTTTTCATCGGGATCAACTATGCCTGTACTGGGAGGCTAAATTTGCATCAATCTTGTATTGCAGTGCAGGGTCACAAATTGGCAATTTAAAACATCAGATTATGCACATGTGTGACAATTTGTTGTAAGACATTCGCAAAGAAGCAAAAAACACAACAGAGACAGGATCAAGGAAGATCCTCCCAGCCAGCATGCCTAGGTGGGCCCCATGTGGGGGAAAGGAGGGCTGATATATGGACAAACCCATGTGGGCCACCACCATATAGGGCCCATATAGGGCCCATGTAGGGCCCATGTGGGCTGTGGCCCCACATGGGCAAACCCATGTGGGGCCATCGTGGAACCCGCGGACAAACCCATATGGGACCCATATGTCAGCCCTCCTATCCCCCACATGGGGCCCACCTAGGCATGCTGGCTGGGCTGTAATTTGCTCAATAACGTATCTTTTTAAATGGAATAGTTGTTGACGCTTCCTGCTCTGCGAGCCTTTGTGGTTAGACACAAAAAGAAATATCATGTGCACAGCTCAAAACACGTTTGAAGGCTGTAAAAGTCATTAGTTGATTCACTTTGTCAGATAAAAAAAAAATAAAAAATTTAGTGACTCCTCTTAGTTTCAGCAAGCTGTTTTCAGAGATGACTGAAAGTATGGATGGTTGATGGAAATGGAATGACAAGACAGCATTTATGATCAAATTATTCACTCCAGCTTCAAATCTCACTTGATTTTTCAATCTGCACAACAGAAAGGAATCGCCTAACCTCCACCCCTAAATCTTAAGCTATACTTTGATTTCCAAGAATGCAAACCAGCCTATGATTAACAACTGATGCATGAGAAGCCATTTGAATTAAATCTTGTGGGGATATAACTGAAAGTGGATCTCAAGATTTATTGTGCGCATCCCTGCTAACTCACCATCAAGTGCAGAGGGTCCTGGATTCCTGTTCTCCTCTGCAAGCATAACTTCCTCTGGACAGAAAATAAAATACTGAATCAGACGTGAGAATCTTGTCTGACAGAGACGGCCTCCCATCATTTCTAATCGCATCTCTAGCTCGGATGCAGCAAAACAAAAAGTTGACATGCCGCACAAAGTAGTGTACAGAGGACAAAATCAATCATAAAAAAATATTTATTAATGTTCCCATTGTTGTTGAGAATAAGCATTTCCGTAACTTGGACTAGACCCACCAGCTCGGTCAATCCAAGCGCGGTAGCCGTTCAGCTCTCTTTCAATCTGCTGCTGGCGTCTTAGCTTCATGAAAGCCCTGCGATTTTCCACTCTCTCCCTCTCTTTGGCAAATTCTCTGAAATAACCAAACCAAATCACAAAACAATGATTGTTGATGGAAAGAAACCTTTGCAGCCTTGAAACAAATAAACCCTCTGTTGTTGTTTTGTTCTGTACAATAAGCCCCTCTTACTGCTCAACCAAATGCAGGACGGGAAGAAAGTTAAAGGAGGCCATAAAAGCAAAAGGGTTGTCTATTGCTCTTTAAATTTTTCTTTTTAAAATCTAAAAGTTGTTATGTTTTCTCCAAACTGGGTGGTTCTGTCTTGCGGTCTGACTTCTGGCTACTGATTAAGGAATAAGCACAACAGAAGTCATAGAAGTGAAGGCACTCATTTAATTTCTCTGATTCATCGGTGTGAAGCAGGACCTACCCAGAGAGGACTCCCAGCACCAGGTTCAGGACGAAGAAGGAGCCGATGATGATGAGGGGGATGAAGTACAGCCAGTTCCAGGTGGGACCCAAGGCATCATTGGTCTGAAATGTCAAAATAAGATCAAAACTCCATCAAGTACAAAACAATCCCAAAGGTACGTAGCTAGTAGCTATTGAACATGCATCTTAAGTGATGGCAGGGAGATGTGTGCAGACATTTTTCTTTCCTCTGAGTGCAAAAACTGAAAACAAATAGGTTTCTTTTTTTTATTTAGTTAATTTGTAAGTAGTTCATTCTGAAACAGTCGTAAAATCTATTAGCATCAGATTATTAGAGACTGATAAAGATGCAGGGTCCATCCACGTGGTAAAGCCTTTACTTCCCTGTGAGTCGGATTTCGTGGATCCACCTCGTAAGAATCCTCAAAGAATTTGAAGCTGACCAGAACAGCATCATGAGAGGCAGACATGTGACCTTACATTGTAGAGCACAGTGGTCCATCCCTCCATGGTGATGCACTGGAAGACAGTGAGGACTGCAAACAGGATGTTGTCAAACTGGGTGATGCCGTCATTAGGTCCAATCCAGGTCTCTGAGCAGGCGTACTTGGCCGGACACTGACGCACGCCACACGGGAAGTCGTACTCAGACGAGTCCACTGTCTCGTTTTCTGAGCAGAAAGGACAAAGTCAGATGCTGAAGAGTTATCTTCTTGTGCCGTAAATGATGCCATGCAGTAAACTGACAACTTTTGTAAAGAAAATAAAAACGTCTCACATCTCACGCCTTTAAACTATAGCACGTTATATGAAAGAGGCTTTACGTTACAAGCACGGATATCCAATGTCTGACAATTCAGTGACAGAAAATATTCACTTCAGTCTATTTTTTTTGGTTTTGTTTTGTAGCTGTCCATCCAGCTCAAGTGAAATTGGGGGCAGCTTGGAGGTTAATAACAGCTATGAACTGAACAATAACTCATTGTGCTGAGCTGCGTAGTTCGTTTTGTTTGTAAAAGCCGTTTTGGCTCGATGAAGTCTCCAGGTGCAGCCTTACACGCTATGTGTGCTTCTGCTTTTCTGGTTGTGAGAAGCTGCCTATCGAGTTGCTCCAACCTGCACAGCCAGAGATGCTTGAATAATAACACAAAAAGCAGCTACAGATGGAGCTCAGGTCTTCTTTTAAGATCTGAGACTAGGCTTGAAGATGGAAACAGTTCAGCACTTTTATCTCTTTATGTGCAAAACTTTAAATTTCCTTCAATATATTTGTTTCATCCTAATAGCAAGGCTGGGTCATACACTTGTCTATCTGAGAAAACCAGATACAGCTTATTGACACAAACATCTCCTACCATCTTTGCAGCACGGTGGAGAATCCACACACCTGATCTGTTCAATATCAAATAAACCAGCATGTGTCCAGTGTACCCAGTATTCCTGGCTGTGGTGTGCAGGTCTTGTGCAGTTTTCCGCTGTAAAACTCCAGGCCGATGATTGCGAACATGAGGATGGCAAAGAACAGCAGCAGACCGATCTGAAGAAGAGGCACCATGGCCTTCATTATGGACTTCAGGACAATCTGCAGACCTGGAGATAAAAGCGAACATTAACCGACTGAGTAAAGGCTGCAACCTAAGAGCAGATGCAGAAACTAAGGATTAGATGGAAAATCTTTGGTTTGCTCTTTGAGGAGAATGTTAATCTGAAATGTAGATTTGAAAATAAAAACTAATATTTTATGATTGTATGAAGTGTTTTTGTACACGGGTAGTTATTTTATTAATCCTATTCGTTAGCGTTCATACAATCTATTCATTCTTTGACCATATTAAAATAAAAGTCTGTTCAACATTTAGTTTTCAGTACAATCATCTTACTATGTTTAAACGGATTGCTGGTGCGAAGAATTCAAGAAACAGAAGATAAGTGCACTTTACAAACAGACAAAATACAGGGAACAAAGCTCAAATATATATATATATAAAAAAACAACATTATTGCATTTACTTAAGCATGCCTCGCAAAAGTATCCATACATATGCTGTCACGTTGCAAAAACTTCAACGAATCTCATTGGGATTTTATGTTATGTAGACCAACAGAATGTGGTTCATCATGGTGATGTGAAAAGCTGACATTTTTTTAATATTTAACTTCAATAAAAATATTAAGTTGACTTGCTTGACCTGTATTCTGATATCCCTACATCAGATGAAGTGCAAGCAGCTGGCTTAAATTTCATCTGTGTGTGATTATGGAAACAACAGAGCAAATCAAACAGGTCAGGAATAAAGTTGTGGAAAAGTTTAAAATAAAACAAAATCTGCAGTTTTCAACATCTGTTCAATCCATCATCTAAAACTGGAAATCATTTCAGAAAACTGGAAAAGCTGCCAAGACATTTCCTTCACTTAGCCTGACATAAAGGGCCGGGAGATCTGGCCAATACACAAAACACTGGACACCACCTGAAATACACCATCCACACAGTGAAGCATGGTGGTGGCAGCGGCATGCTGTGGTGATGGTAGGCGTAGGGAAGCTAAATGGTAAATTTCCCATAATTTATGTTTTTAGTTTATGTATGAAAATGTGACTCAAATATGTCAAAAAGCAAACTGATACAACAAAAACTGAAACAAAACAACTTTCAAACCCTGATAAAAATAGATGCATGAGGATATATTTTTTTAGTCTACAATTACTTTTTTGTTAAAAAAGTTGATGTATTCAACACAATAAATTAAAAAGGAAAAAATATTGACCAAATACTGAAAAATCCACGACACTCACTCGGTATGCCTGAGACCAGTTTGAGGGGTCGCAGTACTCTCACAGCTCTCAGCGTCCTCAGATCCACTGAGATGTTCATATGAGCCCCTGCTGCAGCCAGAATCCTAAACACACACACACACGCACGCACGCACACACACACACACACACAACAGGATTGTCACATGAATGCCACAATTTTTATGCTTTATAAGCTGTGTGGAGCTACAGACTTGCATGTAAACACACATATTGTTGGAGGACGGCTGCAGTGCTTAGATATCGGAGGAGATGATGTGAGGTTCTGCAGCGAAGCCAAGACCGCAGAAAACAAGTGTTTTTTTTTTTTTTTTTTTTTTTTTTTTTTTGGGGGGGGGGAGTGAAGGAAGGAGGTGCCTTTTGCCTGTGTTCTTGTGTGTGGGAGGATGGCTGTGACAACTGCTGTTTAGGAGGAGAACAAAGAATAGCTCCATCATGGGTGGGCAGGATACCCCTAAGCTGGAGAGGCACCATGTTTCTGGACAAACACAAATATAGGATTTTTTTTTTTTATCTGCCATGCAAACCGAAAGTCCATCCAAAGTTATATTTTTGCTTTGTTGATCCTGTGTTGTCTGTCCTGCTCTTCAGATGCACCTCTGTGGCCTTTAGCTCTCAGAGTGATGGGTAAAGAAAACATTGTCTGGTGATCTGAGCCCCTGCTCCCTCATTAGTCTGGCCTCCTGTCTCTGTTTTCGGCAATTTCTCTGATGTTGCTTTTCATCCCTTAACCTCCCTCTGGTTATTTCTCCCTTTCTTCACTTTTTTTTTTGTCAAACCCCTTACCAATTATACTTTCTCTGTGACTTTTTCCCCCATTTTGCACTTGAGCTTACATACATAGTGATAAACAAAGATAAATGCAGAAATAGTATCGGCTATGGTGTGTTTTCCTAATATCATTTGGTACAAATCAGTTTGCTGACTAAGCGAAAGCGCTAAAATGCCTGCACTACAAACTGTTTGGCATTTTCAGAGAAGATTTGTCATGTTTTTCATGAGAACAATATAGAAACTCAGCTTTACTGCTAGACCCAGAAATGCATTTTTATTACACGTGGGACTGGATAAAGGGAAATAAACAAGCATGCTAATGGAACGAAGTAGGAAAATCCAGTAAGCAGACATTTTCTTACTTTTCTTGCCAAGTTTCGTTTAGGAAATTAACTTTTTCAGATTCCACTTGCAGAGTTTGAACTTGGCACTACATGCCATTCTCAAAACTGAGAAAGTAGCTTGTTTCTGTCAAATGTTAGTTCAATAGTTATAGCAGAGCAACATTAAGCCGCTGATGCAGATGAGCGGATGTTACCTGGGTAAATGCACAGTCATAATAGTACAATTGTCCTATTTGCATTCACCACGGTATCCAAGCTACATTGTAAACAGGCTGGTAATTGAAGATAACTGATCAATAGATTGTACAAAATGATTATTATCCAGGATTTATGTACACAACAGTGCTTAAGTGCCCTCCTTATGCACACTAATTTTCCCTACAGAGATTTCACATTTATTGATATAACAAAGCACCATAAAACCAATTACACTTCTAGGATATGGCAGTGAGAATTAGTCTCATCTTTAGTTCTAGCAGACTAAGAACGTCATCTGTTTTAATTAGAAGAATTAAAGGGGAAGGAGAGAAGAACGAGAGAAGATGAGAAAAAGATTAAAATAGCTCATCGTCGTCGATGCACACGCAGAAATAGAAACATCTTCACGAGTTTCACACCTGCGGTCTCTCTCTCTTCCTCGTCTTTTCGTCACATCAAATTGTTCAGCTTTTGTCTTTGTTTTACTCAAAAACAAAGACAAAGAGTTTTCACGTGCTGCCACGTGAAAACTCTGGTATTTAATTTTTCACTTGTTTTACTGTTTTATTTAAACATCATCACACATTCAAACATCATTTTTTTAAAATCTTTTTCAAAATGTATTTCTCTTTCTCACTGTTTAATCAATGTCACCTGCTGTTTTTATTTTAATTATGTAAAGCACTTTGAAATGCCTTGCTGCTGAAATGTGCTATACAAATAAAATTTGATTGATTGATTGATTGATCACCATGTATTTCTACTGAATTACACCCAGGTTGACTCTGTTCACATAATAGGCCACTTCTAAAAACAACCTCAGTGGATTATTTAAAGGGTCATCAAATCATTTCTGCCGGGAAAACTATTTGGATTTTTTTTATTTGGAAACAATAAAAACATAAATTACTTCCTTCCACTTCACAAATAACCTTACTTTGTGTTACTCTAGCATGTAATACATTAAAGTAAGCGGTTGCATTGTGTCAAAGTGTCAAAAAGTGAAATATGTATATATATATATTTTTTTTCCTTTTAAACTTCTAAAAAAATGACAGCATTGTTTTGAGGTAGGAATTAGTAGACAACAATTAGAATAACTTTTCAAAATAAAGCACAAAGTTAAACTTAAATAAAACTTAGCTAGGCTTCGTGCCTAAAATGAGAATAAAACAGCAAACTAATATAAGCTAACCTAACTTTATATCTTAGCAGCATAAACAATCCAATCAAAGCACCAGAACACAGACAGATAAACTATCTGGGTCTCTATTTTTCCCTCTTTAAGTTGCTACGTTGAATTTCTGTGTAAGACTTTAAAAGAGCCTCTGAGAAAACAGAACACAAACTTGACAGATTTGATGAAAAAAATTACGTATCATCTCCATGAGGAGTCAAGAATACATAAACACAAGCTGAAACACTCTGCAAAGGGCTGCTCTCTCACTCGCTACTACGGCAAATATGAGACACTCGGCCCGTCTGGACCGTGGCACCTCCTCTCTGTCGGAGACGGGGAAGGTGAAGGTTGGCCACAGAATCTGGCAGATTTTAATCTGCCGGGGGAAGCACGACATATGGCTGATTTGGCACAAGTAACCAGTTTGGACGACCATTTATTTCCTCCCTGTCGTCTTCCCTCTGCCTCGTAAAAAGATGTTCATTTATTATTTTACAGTAGCTTTGTTTGGTCAATCAATATGAAACATCTGATAATACCAAACGCTATTTTGCTCGTATTCAACATCCTGACGTTACAGTCCAAGCATGAAGGGTGCCACAGATAAATAATAGTGTCATGAGCTAGTAATTCAACACGCCAACAAAATTCAATTACATTTTCCTCTTAAGGCGCATATAAACAATATAGAGCATTACTGAGCTCTGCTAAAGGAAGGCCAGACAAAAGAATTTGCTGTCAGGCTGAAAAGGCCAGTGAAGACACCATAGAGGCATCTAAAATGTCACGCAGCAAGGAGGGATAATGTCACTTAACAGGAACCTAATGAGAACACTGTTTCAGGTGAGCATGAAGGAACCAATAGACAAATAAACCAGTCAAATTAGTCTATGATGTTGCTGTAGTTTCTATTTTATGCATTTTGAGTTTATTTCAGCATAACAGATTTCTTATGAGTAAATATCCTCTTTCAGAAATAATTTTGCTCAAACAGCTTTTTGCTTTTAAACACCAAAGTTTTGTAAACTCAAGCATGTCGTCTTTTAAAACATTTTGTAGAGTTGTTTTTATTTTAAGGTTGTGTTTATGTCAGGTAAAAATGTCATAATTTACTCCTACTTATCCATTTTCTGTCTTGCCAAGTAAAGTGTTGTCTCGAGTCTCTTTACGGCACTAAACTTTTTCACACCTTAAACTGAACCGATTATTTTAAGTGTTTTGGTGGGAAACAGTAGAATCTCATGTCTTAATGTTATCACAAATCTCTATAAAGTTAAAAAAAGAGAGTTAATTATCTTATTTCCTGGTAAAATGTGATACTCCTTTCAGAAATCATCAGATATTCAGCCAATACATACTTTTACATAAAGTACAGATGCTGAGATGAGGTCTGCTAAAAAATGTCTGAAATCTTTTTTTTTTTATTCAGAATCAGCTTTATTGGGCATGTTGTATAAGTGTGAACAGACATTATTTTTAATCAAATACAAAACAGGAAACAGGAAAAATCAAGTAGAAAAAGATATAGATCAGAGCAGTGCAATTAAACATATTTTTATTTGACATTCGAGTAGCTGACTAGTCTGGCTATGAAATGTTTATTGTGTTAATCAAAGAGGCAACCTATGGGATGAAGTAATCTCTGTCTGGTTTTTGCAAAAGCGGTAAAAGTCTTAACAGTTTGCATGTTTCTATCTGCTGTTTGAGTGAAAGGGAGAACAGCAAACAAAGAAATCTGCACAAATTTCCTCCCTCTGCAGGGCATGTTGTTCAAATGTTGAACGCATTTGAACCTACATATATTTGGTGAAATATGCTTTATGGATGCAGTGCACAAAAAGCCACTATCGGGTTACAACAAACAGAGATCGCACCATTTATGAATGGTACGAATAAAATAAAATTGGATTAGAAACTCTTATCCCTCATTTGAAAGAACAAAATGTGGACAGGAGTATAAAGCACTGATAATTTAGGATAATTGGTGAATAATGAGTGTCAAGTACCTGGGAGTTTTCTTAACGTACGTACAGAAGCATGTGAAAGAGTCAGAGTTGGGATCCACTTCTGAGGGTCGGACCGACCGACCAGGTAGCGGTCACTTTAATTGATCTCATATTCAACATCTCCAACAGGTTTTTCACAAGCTAATAAAGTCACTTTTATTCAGAGGGAGCTGTCAAACAGACGATGCCCTGCTTTGAGGTGTCAGCCATGATAAGTGAGTACTGATGGTAAACCCTGCTGAGGCGACAGCTTCACACCGCCTGACAAATCTGCCGTGACAGCCGTCAGAGCCCGATACTGACAACGTTGTGACTTATGTCACCGTCCAGCCACACAACATTTATTAATAGGAGCACACCTGATCATTGGAACAAATTTACCCACTCATCTTACATTGTTAGCACCGCAAGTATCTCTAGGTAATAAACAAAAGCATGTTTTGGAAATAAATATAATTTCACTAATAAACAGTAAAAATCTAACTGGCTTTCAGTTCCTTTTAGAGCAGCTAATTTTTTTTTATCATATTATGTTATTTAGAAGGATTTCTTCAGAAAGATGAAGAGTATCTTGGAACAACTGAGAGCAAAAGGAGCACGGAAAGAGGACTGATGTTGCACTGCAGCTTTAACCCCAAAACATAATAATGTAAAACAAATAATAATTACTAGTGCAAAACGAAGTCATATGACTTTGTACAAACTTGTTTCTCAAAATAAAATAAGTGATTTGGGTAAGAAAATTACCCCAAAAATTAGTATTATTATTTTTTAAGAATAAACAAAAGTGGATGGAAAAATTAAATGTTATGCATATTGCACAACTGTTCTCTTCTGGTTTACTTTTATTTTAGTAAACCAGTACACTAAAACCTAAACAATGCATGCAACAGAATCAGCTTCTTAAACAAAAGCATATTGGGAACAAGAACACTGAAAACTAAATTGGACACAAACAGGATAAGCTGGGCATTCATTTTGGATTACACTGCCATACTGAATTTGTGTTGATGCTAACCTATTTTCGTTTGCTAAATGTATTTCTTCAGAGCAACTAAAGGACATTAATGGTCAAATATGTCATATGTAGTGCATCTTTTTAGGCCAAGTCACGAATTATGAGTCCACACCAATTGGTAATGTCAAACCAAGTACGGTAATGAAATGTAACCCACATGTATATGTG